TTTCATTAATTTTTTAACTGAAAATGACGAGTTTGGAACATAATGAATAGTCAGCTGACTATTTTGTAACTTTTAATATTCGAGGGACTCAAAAAAGCAACATCCTATAGTCAGAGGATCATTTACCATCAAAATGACTTAGGCACCTACCTCAGTGATATGTGAAGGTATGAATCTCAACAATGAAGTGTGAATGCCAAATTTTAACCCTATAGTCAGAGGAAATAAAAATACCAAACTTTGATGGTAAAGATTCATACCTTCACATATCATTGTTGAGGGACTAAAAAAACAACATCCTATAATCAGAGATCATTTATGATGTCGAACAATTTTGATGGTAAGGATCCATACCTTCACATATCACGTTGGCCCTAATATAAGTTTCTTATTTTGTCCTCAACAATGATTTGTGAAAGTATGAATCTTTACCATCAAAATTGTTTGACTAGATGATAACTTTTGTCGTCGAAATTTTAATTAAGTTATGTTAAATTTTAACCTTTTTTTAATTACAAAATTTAATTTAATTTATTAAATTAAATCATCCGACGAACAAATAATAAACATGTTAAACTAACATTATCTATTTTCTTTTTTTAATCAATTTTAATAATTTTATAAATTTTATAATCTTTTATAATTTAACTATTTATTTTTAGGGTAAATTACAAATTTCATCACTAAACTTTACTCTATCTCTATTTTGGTCACTTCGCCATTAAATAGTTAACAGAGTTAAAAACGATGCCGTTTTAAAAAAAAATCACCAAACCAACGTCGTTTTGCATCTATAAAACAACCCATTTTAACGTCATTAACTATTTAACGATCGAGTGACAAAAAAACATAATGTTTTAAGTTCAGTGAAGAATTGAAAAAATTTAAAGTATAGTGAGTGAAATATGAGAGAGTAAGTTAAGTTGCCAAATTTACAATTTACCCTTACTTTTATTATTATTTTTAGATATTATTTCTGAAGTTCTATATAAATGACAAAATAATTGGAGTTAACTTTGGGAAAAAACGACAAAATTTATACGTATGTTATTTTCATGTCTTAATTTAAGTTAGTAACATATTAAAAATTCAACAAAAATAAAAAAATTAATTATTAAAACGTTTTTTATTGAAAAAAAATGTTTGAGGATAAAAATGTGATTAGGTGATATAGTTTTGTTGTTTTCATGATTTGTGAGTGGGCTAAAATGAGAGGGTGATTGGATGGGGAATGTCATTACCTTCATTTCTTTAGGTATTGTTTGATTACCGACATTTTGGATTTATCCTTAAACTATTTTAGATTTACAAAAAATGTCTATAATTAAAATTTTATATGAAGTTCAGGGATTAAAATAAAATTTTACCCTTTCATTAAACCTTTTATTTTTTCAATTTTGTAAAAAAATTATATAAATTTTATGAATTTAATTTTTTTTAAAGAAATGTATAAATATTTTTCAACTTGTTAAAAAAAGTATATAATGAAGACAATTTGGTCAAATATACATTCTAATAATCTTTTATTCCTTTAACCAAACACGGTAATCTTACATTCCTGCTAAGCCAACTAAACACAAATACAACATTTTCAACAATCTTATTCCCTAGTAATCTTACATTCCCACTAGTAATTTTATATTCCGTGAACCAAACGCACCCTGACTGTGTATTTTTGTTCCCATTTGTAATAATAATATCCCATCATCATTAATGCCTAAAGATGGTGTTCCCATCGTTCATACTCTGAAAACAATCTTTACATTACTATTCACACATTTCTTTCTTAATCTTAGGGGGAAATAAAAACAATCTTTACATTTTTTTCTTTCATTTTATAATTTCTTATAAAAAACAATAAGAATTATTCGAAGATTGAAATACCAATTAAAAAATTATATATCAAGTCATTGTCACCCCACATGTTATTTTCTTTATTTATTCATAAATACCAATTTTTCCATTTTAAAAATTTGGATAAATTCTTTATTAATAAAAGTCACTTTTAATTAGATAATGAGCCGTAATTCAATTATACAAATTTATTTTACATAAAAGCTTGAGATGTTCTCACTTTGAGGTGTGACTTTGTTTATATTTAAAATGTTCTCACTTTTGATTAGATGTATCAAATGTTTACAATTAAAATTAACCATGATTGAAATGTAAACTTAATCACCAACAGGGATGCAACATAGCTTAATCCCATGTGTATCAATTGTTATCCCGTTTAAGAAAATATGAGCATTCAATGCTTTGAGATAGAAGATATTACACTAAAGAAAATATAAAAATTTTAGGAAGTGAGTAATTTTTTCAGATTATAATTTTTTTATATCTAAAATAATATTTAAAATCACTAAAACCACTGCCATTTGGGATGAACTAAGGGAGCATAGAGATAAAGTTCCATGGCAGAAAATGCTCTGGTTTCCTCTCCATATTCCCAAACAAAGCATTATTTCTTGGATGATTATTCTTGATCGTCTTCCTACTCGTGATAGACTTTTCAGAATGGGAATCACTACTGATCAAATATGTATCTTTTGCAATGTTGAACCCGAATCCAGAACCATTTGTTTTTTGAATGTGCCTTTGCTTCTACTATCTGGAACTCTATCATGTTTCTTACCAACTTACGAGATACTCACAGGACTTGGGATGCAAGAATTGAATGTGTTGCTCACAAATGGAAGGTAAAATCTTTACTTTCCATCATCCTAAGAATCGCTTAGAACGCTTTTAACTACTTGATTTGGGAGGAAAGAAATAGGAGGATTTTCAAAGGTGGATCAAGAACAACAGACCAAATTCTTAAGTTTGTCAAGGAATTTGTTTGTATTCAGCTTAGTGATAAAGATATTAATAGAATGGATCATGTAAACTCCAATCTTTGTAGCAATTGGGGTCTCGACTAATGATTTTTTTCTTTTTCTTTTTTTGTAAAAAGGGGTAAATTTCCTCCTCTTGGGATGCCTGTTATTTGTTGAACTTTATTCTTGGATAATAAAATCTTACTTATCCAAAAAATATCATAATTAATTATTACAAATATTCACTTATAAAATATATTTAATTAATTTTAACAACATAAAAACATGAGGAGGCTCACCAACTCATTTTGAATGAGAAAGATGTTACCTTGTTTTTTTAACTTCTTAGGGTTTTGGGAAAAGAGATATGAGAGAGAGTAAATAAAAACATAAAGGGGAAAGAGTGATAAGAAAAAAATATGATTTTTGTCCCATTTCCCTACATGTATAAGCAACCATACATTGAATGAGATTCAAGCATGATTGTTTTTTTTGTTCGGAAAAAGTTAGGTCAAGGGTGGTTCCCCCAATCCAAGCCATGGCATACCTAAAACTCAATTGTGATTTATATAGGAATTTACATATTACCCACCAATAGTGACGGTGGTAGGATTCAAACCTGACTTTACAAGCTCAAATTCCTGAATTCCAACCATTTGTGCTAACACTCATTGGCTTCATAAGCAATTACCCTCCCCTCTTGCATCAGAAACAACCAAGTTCAGAGTGTGAAACATCATTATAAATTGTAAAATCCTTCTCGGGCTCAGGTTGAATCAAAATTGGAGCTTGAGTCAAATTTGTTTTCAATTTCTCAAAGCTCTCTTACAGTGCATCACACCAAAAAAAAGAATATCATTCTTGAGCAGATTCATCAAAGGGGTAGCAATGATATAGAAGCCCTCGATAAAGCACCTATAGTACCCAGCCAAACCCAATAAACTATGGATCTTAGAGACATTCTTAGGCTACTTCCAACTCACGACGGACTCGATCTTGCTCGGATCCACCTAAATACCTCTAACATATACAATATTCCTAAAAAAAGTCACATCCAAAAGCTAGAACTCACATTTGCTCAACTTGGCATAGAAACAATGCTCTTTCAAAGTCTGCAGAATTATCTTCAAGTGCTCATCATGTTCTACCTCAGTCTAGGAAAAGACCAGAATATAATCAATGAATACCACCATAAATTGGCCTAAATAAGGCTGGAACATATAGTTCATCGATCCATGAAAGCTGCTAGAGCATTGGTCAACTTAATTGGCATCACCATAAACTCGTAATACCTATATATGGTACGGATAGCAGTCTTAGCAACATCAACATCCTTTACCTTCAACTGATAATATCCAAACCGAATATCAATCTTCGAGTATATAATGGCTCCATGCAACTAGTCAAATAAGTCATCGATTCGGGGCAACAAGTATTTGTTCTTGATTGTCAACTTGTTCAACTTTCGTTAGTCAATATAAGTCTGAGAGGTCTAACCTCCTTTTCCAAAATAGAACTAAAGTTCCTCAGGGTGAGGTACTATGTTAGATAAATCATCGATCAAGAAATTCCTAAAGTTTTACCTTCAACATTTTAAGTTCCTTCGGAACCATACGGTATGGTGCCATGGAAACCTAGGCAAAATCCGGATAAGTCTCCATCTTGAACTCTACATCTCCATTCAGAGGTAACCTTCACAACTCCTCAGGGAAGACATCAAGAAACCCATTGATGGTATAGATTTTCTCGATCTTAGAGAAATAGTCTCTAGAATTCAAATACAAGCAATTAAAGTCACATATCCCTTTCAGACCATTCGGTCAGTAGCTAGAGTTGAAACTAATTGGAGACGTAACACTACAACAAAACGGGCTTTTAACATCACTTTTAGCGGTGTTTTTTAAGCAAACACTGCTAATTTTGGATCTTTCGCAGTGTTTATAGAAAAATGCCACAACTGAAAATTTTTGCGACGTTTATAAGAAAACATCGCAATATTAATGTAACTTTAGTGGCATTTTTGGTAAAAACGTCGTGATAGACTAATATATAACGGCGATCCGTAATAAAATTCCTATATAGTGACATTTTTAACAAACGTTGTAATAGGAATCATATCTAGTGGCGTTTTGCGTTGATTTTTTTACAGACGCCATATTCAATCTTTTAACCCTAACTTCTCTCATCTCGAGTAGTTCCCATATCTAAATCCCTAACTTTCCTCACGAATCACTTCTCTTACTCTATGAATCTCATCGATCATATAGCAAAAATTAGATTTCTAGGAAAAAACCAATTTCCCTTAAATTTCTTCTTATGCTTATATGGTTACTTTAAACGTGTTCAACTAAGCATGGTATCTCCGTTGTTCATTATTCTGGTTAGTTCTTAGCTTCTTTTCTTGCTTCCACTTCTTTTTATTTCATATTTCTTGTCTATCATTCATATATTCCCTTATTTTTTGTGTACAGTCTATTTTTTTCTCTGTTTCGTCTATTTATTGTGATTTTCCCTTTTCAGTGATTTTTCCCTTTTATGTGGATGGGCATTTGATGAATCTTGTGTATCAATTGAGGTCTTGCGTCGTTGGTTCCGTTTTCCCGAGCAGTGAGCCGGGTCTTGCGTCTGCAGGATCGTGTTTTTTGTGAAGCCCAGGAGACCTCTGTTGATGGTCAGTTCCGTTGGTTTTTATCAGTTTTTTAGCTTGACTGGTTGCTTGGAAAGTGGAAGAAAATAGAAAGAATTTTTCGATGGAAATGAAAGAAAAAAGAGAGAAGAAATCACATTCCTATGGAAATCGAACCTTTCTTAGGTGAAATCATCGTTTTAGAGTATAGTTGGTTTATAGAGCTGCAAACTGGCTAATTTTAGCTTTTTAAACTCCGGATGTTTACAAAATAAGTTTTCTTACTAGAATTAGTTGATTCTAGTAAATGACCATGGTTTATTTCTCGAAATAAAAATGAGGGATTTTGAAATTTATTTTCTTTCCTTGTTTAGAAATGAAAGAAGATAAAAGAACAACCGATAGTTCATGTTATTATTCTCTGTTCAAGTTCAAAGTCGATGGTTGTAGATCTTTGCTGATTTGACCTTGTTATCGCGTTTAGAACCGATACTTCATGAAGTTTATATGTTATTTTGCTTGTTCCTTGAATTTAGCAGTGGCACCATTGAAGAAAGACGCATGGCAATCCCTTGTTCTGGATTGTGAATTGCCTGTTCTGGTTGAATTTTGGGCTCCAAGGTGTGGACCTTGCTTGTTCGTTTAGGGGAATGAGATAAGAAAGAATTGAATAAGAAGAAGAAAATATATCAAAACTTATTTGGTTTCTTGGCAGTGTGCAGTAGTTGGACCCCCTTAATATTATGTTAATTTCATCTGCATCTTGCATAGTTACTGGACTGGATATCTAACTTTTGGGAGAAACTTCTATTGCATTTACGATTTCTTATCTTGATAATGCACTTGTCTTTAATCTTATTTTAAACTATAACTAAAATAATTTTTGAGAGGTAAGAAAGGTATCACCAGTTGATAATTTTGTGGAGACTCTACTCTTAGATATGATGGATTTGAGGAAATTATGAACATGAGATATTTAGGGGGTTGTAACTCTTGTTTACCACCATTTCCTCTGTTGCTCCCATAAAGAAAACTTCTTAGCAGAATTGAAAGAAAGAACCCTTCACTCTCTTTTAAATCTACTCTTCTACTTTCCCTCGTCCATGCTTGTGGTGTTCCCTTTTAATGAATCTTTTGGCAATGAATCTTTAGGATGAGTTAGAAGAACAGAGATGGAGGGATTTAATTCTCAAGTTCAGACTTTTTATCGCCATGATGCTGTTTGCAATCAGCTTGTGCAAGTGAGATTTTTTCCGTCGAATTGGTAGAACTGAGTATGAGCTTACCACAGAACGTTTTTGTGTATAGTGTTGCTGCTTTATTTAATTCAATGTCAGCATCTATATAATCTTGCTTTTATTTTAGTTTTATTTTTTCTGTGAATAGAGTGAGCAATATGTTTGTAAAAAATACATATTATATGGACTTAATTCTTGCTATGTATCATGGCAGGTTACTTCAAACTGTGTAAGGCTTGTGAGTTCAATGTTGCCACTGCCAATTTATCCGGGAAAACAGTTTACACGGAGGAAAATTTTAACGATGCTTCATCAAAAAGGAAAACTGTTTTCTCCTTCCTTTCCCCGTGAAGGAGCAATGAAGATTCACAGATTGTGCATGTAAAATATAACCTTTGTTTATTCTAGTTAATGATGTTAAAGTACATTACATTTCACTTGAATATATGTAAACTTTCTTATATCAACTATTTTTACTTAATTCGAGTTATAATTAAATTTTAAGCTTGTTGTTATTCTATATTGTTACATGATATTAAATTTGGGTAATCATTTAGCCGAAAATAACATTTGCAAATCAGGTTGATTTTGCAACGTTTTAAGATTAAAAAAACGCCATTAATTGACCACACAAATGTGGTGTTTTCAGTTAAAAATACCACTAAATTACATACTTTTTTGCAGCGTTTGTTCCTGAAATGCCATTAAATGATATAACCATTTGTGGTTTGTTCCAAAAACGCCGCTAAATGGCCTAATCATTTGCGACGGATATATAAAAAACATCGTTAAATATCACAGTATATAGCGTCGTTTTATTTACAAACGCCGCTAAATCACCTAACCTATTGCGACGTTTGTAAAATAAACACTCTACATGTCATGACCTATTGCGTTTTTTATTTACAAACGTCGCTAATATTTGTGGCACCCGTTATAGCGGCCTTTTTTGCCGGGGGGTGTTGAGCCGGGAAGCCTTTTTGCAGCGCTTATAAATACCTCTATAAGACTAAAAACCCCACTAAAAGCTTGTTTTGCTGTAGTGTAACCTCGATGCTTACCAATTAAAATCACGGTCCAACCATCAGAAGTCTTCAAAGTAGCCCTCTTGTAAGTACAATCCAAATTAACTCGATGCTCTTTAGTCAATCCATCCCCTAAAATCAAATCGAATTCCTCTAAAGGAAGTTTTATAAGATCAACAACAAAATCACCTTGAACTCTAGAGGACAACGTCAAAATATTTTATTCACCAACATTGATTGTCCCACTAGGCTCATAAGAGTAACTACACTCTCAGTGTCCTCGACCAAATTCTGAAGGCCTTAGGATACAAAACTTGAAGCATAAGAATGTGTGGAACCGTTGTCTAGTAATGTAAATTATGGAGCTGAGCAAAATAGTAAAAGTACCTACTATAACCTCTGGCTCATCTCTATCATCACGACGCCTAATAGCATACACAAGAACTGACTGCCTAGCCTCATATATAACTGGTCTTCTACTATGTTGTGAATGAGATCTACTGTAAATCCTAGAAGCATATCCAGAAGCTCCCCCTAGCTACGACCTCTAACTCGAGTCTAAATAGAAGCCTAAGAATGTGTAGGTTTCTAGTTAGATGTCCACTTCATCAAAGCTAATTGTGGGTAATTCCTTAGAAAATGACCACTTGATCCACATCAAAAGCAAGGACATGACTTCTTATGACTATCCCCCATATCAATTTACATAAAACTTATAAACAAGCACCAAAGAGAAACTCGATGAATCACATCGACTAACAGCTAGGGTAAATGTACTACATGCTTAGAACTGGTGTTACTCCTCTATGGAGCAGTAGTATGAGTCATTTACTCTAGATGCACAGAAGACTTAGTTGAGCCAGAAGACCTCCTAGGTCACTCTTGATCTATTTAATCTGTAACATGAGTTATGGCCTTAAACTCCTCAACATCTTTCTCTCTACCCACCAGAACATCAAATACATCATCCTGATGGGTCACAATCTACCTACGCAGCTCATATCTGAGTCCTCGAGCAAACTTGCGGCACATATCTCTCTCAATAGAAACCAGGTTAGAATCATACTTCAACAACTCCAAGAAATATATCTCGTATTTAGAAACTAATATCTCCCTAAATAAAACCCTAAAACTACTGTCATCTCTCAGCCAATATCACTCTCCAAGGAAACAGTTCTTGAAACGCTCCTTGAATAAATCTCATGTCAGACGGTCGGTATGAATATTACTCACTAAAGACCCCCATTAGGTGTGGGCATTCCTATCCAGCATCAAAATGGCTTCCAAATATCTCTTCACTGCATCTAAACCCAATTGATCCATGTGTTTCTCTTTATCGTGAAGCCAATCCTCAGCTTCAGTAGGAGCTCCACCAGTCGGGCCTCCAAACTTCTTAACCCCATTAGCAACCAAGTTCTGAGTGATAAGAACTTCGGGTATGACACTCATTGATCTTACTACACCCTGAATCAACTGAAGAAATTGTCTACCTAGTGCCTCATCCAACATAAATCCTACAAACTCACTCGCAGCAATTAACTCTCCTCTCACAAGTGTCGTCATATTGATACTAAGGTAGGAAATAAATCTTTAAGAACTAAATGACCTCTAGGGTTTAGAGGATCTACTAGAAGCGACAGGTCTAGAGGATAATCTATGAATCTAGTAACTCGACCTCACCTACGAAGAGATTGACGACCTCGTCTAACGCTCATATCTATAAACTCATGCTCAATACACAAATGTAACGACTTAAGATTAATTTTGGCACTAGAGTACCGTACAAAATTAAACTTATAAAATTTGGTGACATGACCTTTGTAGCATGTTTTGAAAAATGTTTTAAAATAATATTTTTATTTAGGACTCATCCATAGTTTGAGGTTTTAAAAACCAAAAGCACTGACACTAACCAAATATAACCCACTAGACCAGCCTATGTGTTACGACTAGATCTATTGATTACATTAATAATCTCAAAATATTTCAAAATGTAGTAATAATAATTAAGTCAAGTCAATTAAAATGTGATATAAAAATACCATGAATAAAACAAAATATCAGGTATCGAATATAACCTATAAATCAGGAGTAAACCAAAAGTTGTCATAAAACCAGTATATCAAAATATAAGCACATGTCACCCAAAATAAAGACATTTTGAAATATAGAAACATTATAACAAAACATGGTACTGAATGTGTCAATCCTTTAAGTGTCAAGTCTAGGTTGTCTACCCAAAAGTATATGAAAAAGAAAAGTTGGGAAATGAGCTACGGAGCTCAGTGTGTTTCAATAAGTGCGTAATAAACATACTAATAAATTCCATAAAGTAGTTAAATAAAATGTCATAAAGGTAACTTGAGGTTTATTTAAAGAGAAAATAACCTCAGTGACCAAAAATCCCAGATAATATACGATTTTGACCAACTTTTTTTGGATTTGCGAAAATGACCAACAAAATCGCAATGCGATCTCTAATTCGCATTGCGGTCTCCACTATCGCAAATTCGCGTTGCATTTCTCGTTGCGATAGTTGAAAATCGCGTTGCGATTTTTCATTTCGCGTTGTGATTTTCCATTTCGCGTTGCGATAGTCTATAGTTGTCGTTGCTATTTTCCAAATTCGTTGCGATAGTCTACAGTTGTCGTTGCGATTTTCTAAATTCGTTGCGAAAATTCGTTGTGATAGTTAAAAAAAAATTTGTTTCTTAAGAATTTTCTCTAAAAAGATAGCATCCGTGCGGACGTGTCGAAGACACATATTACCACGACCACGACCACGAGACGAGACGTGACGGACGGAGGCGGCGTGCGAGAGTCCCCCTTGTTCTCTATCACTCAACAAGGAAGTGGGAAAACCAAGCCTTAAATACCATTCCCAATAGTGTTTCCAATACTATGTGGGATTTGAGCATTACCAACACTTGTTCCCAATACTATGTGGGATTGAGCTTTAAATAGTGATATTATTTTTGAATGTTTTGCTTAAAATTGCAATAATCGCGATTGATTGTAGATTGACTTTTAATTATGACATATTTAATCGTATAATACTAATGCAATTGGTTGCTGATTCAGTTGTTTTAAGGTGCATGATTGTTAATTGTTTCCTGAATAATCACATTGTATTGGAAACAAGTGTTGGTAATGCTCAATCCCACATAGTATTGGAAACACTATTGGGAATGGTATTTAAGGCTTGGCTTTCCCACTTCCTTGTTGAGTGATAGAGAACAAGGGGGACTCTCGCGCGCCGTCGCCGTCTCGTCTCGGGTCGGTTCGGTCGGGTCGTGGTCGTGGTAATACATGTCTTCGACACGTCCGCGCGGATACTATATTTTAGAGAAAATTCTTAAGAAACAAAATCTTTTTTTTTAACTATCACAACGAATTTTCGCAACGAATTTGGAAAATCGCAACGACAACTGTAGATTATCGCAACGCGAAATGGAAAATCGCAACGCGATTTTCAACTATCGCAACGCGAAATGCAACGCGAATTTGCGATAGTGGAGATCGCAATGCGAATTAGAGATCGCATTGCGATTTTGTTGGTCATTTTCGCAAATCCAAAAAAAGTTGGTCAAAATCGTATATTATCTAGGATTTTTGGTCACTGAGGTTATTTTCTCTTATTTAAAACACATAACTACCTTTTATTTGTACACGAAAATGTAGTTCTGGGAACTGTATCCACAAAGACTTATCCTACACCAAAAAGGTATAGGAGCCAACCTAAGGGAATACCTTGTTGCCTATGGGCCTACACAAGGGTCACATTAGGTTCATAAAGTATTGCCAACTTGATCGAAGTTGAACCTCAGAACTCTAGAATACATCTTATAGTGTGTCCCAATAAAACATATTAGATAGTAAACAATAGTTCCAAGATTCCATAAATCAACATACTTATTTTTTTAGTAAAAATAGGTAACTAGAGAGCATGCATCGTGCAAACATAGTTCATATACGATAAATCAAGAATTCGGGATATCGATAAGATAAAACAATCATATTTTAAAATGGATAAAACAGTCACATAGCACACAAAGAACACACATCAAAAGGATCAGCCTAAGAGGTTTATTTAGCACCCACCTCGCTACGTTCTACAGCAATGTTCGAACCTAAACCATAACAAATATGAGTTACTATTTAAGTAATATTTTAATCTAATGAATCACACGAATTTACAAAAACAATACGGTTAATCACAGTCTCACACAATCGAATGGATTGGGAGAAACTAGTCGAGTTGATAAGCGATTGGGAGATTCACGAGTACCTTCGATAAATAACATTATAAATCAGCCATTGTCCTTAATTTAAATATGTT